TATAGCTCTGTGTGGCGGTTTTGACTATGTATGGCCGTGTATGGCTGTGTATGGCTGTGTACAGCTGTGTATAGCTCTGTGTGGCAGTTTTGACTATGTATGGCTGTGTACAGCTGTGTATAGCTCTGTGTGGCAGTTTTGACTGTGTATGGCTGTGTATGGCTGTGTATGGCTGTGTACAGCTGTGTATAGCTCTGTGTGGCAGTTTTGACTATGTATGGCTGTGTATGGCTGTGTACAGCTGTGTATAGCTCTGTGTGGCAGTTTTGACTGTGTATGGATGTGTATGGCTGCGTATGGCTGTGTATGGTTGTGTACAGCTGTGTATAGCTCTGTGTGGCAGTTTTGACTGTGTATGGATGTGTATGGCTGCGTATGGCTGTGTATGGTTGTGTACAGCTGTGTATAGCTCTGTGTGGCAGTTTTGACTATGTATGGCTGTGTATGGCTGTGTATAGCTGTGTATAGCTCTGTGTGGCAGTTTTGACTATGTATGGCTGTGTATGGCTGTGTATGGCTGTGTATAGCTCTGTGTGGCAGTTTTGACTGTGTATGGCTGTGTACAGCTGTGTATAGCTCTGTGTGGCAGTTTTGACTGTGTATGGCTGTGTACAGCTGTGTATAGCTCTGTGTGGCAGTTTTGACTATGTATGACTGTGTATGGCGGTGTATGGCTGTGTATGGTTGCTCTACCACTAGGCCACGGAGGCGGTCCTATACGTCATCTGCGGAGATAAATGCTACCTCAAGAAACCATCTGTAGAACAACAAATACTTCTTGATTCCAAAACTGCAACCTTCCTACACTCATCCCGTTTCATAGCTTTTAACTATTCCATCACGTTTCAAAGCAAATATAATGCAGAACATATCCTAAATTGCTACCCCATCAACGCACATGTCAATAAAGTACAATAACAGCAATAGTTTGAGACCACCCCCAACTCGGATGACATTTGCACCTGTGAGAATGCACGGGACTGTTTGAGGTCATCACCTCGGGACAGGTGTCAGGTATTTACCTCAGGTTATATTCCGTTTCATACAAGCATGACAACACACGAATCATTTAACCTGTTAAAGTACATTTTAAGGGTTATCACAATGCCAGTTAGGACAGGCTGAATTAGGCCAATTTGCGTTATTTTGATATGTGCTCTTTTATAGTCCCATGACTCGCATTTATTAAATGAAGCCAGAAGAGCATTTTTCTAGCATTTCCGACAGTATCGTAGCTTTCTTTATAACCAGTTTGCTATGTGATTAGTTTTCTGTGTATGCAGTTCCCCATGGTACAAGTGTTCTATATAACCTGTTTGCTAAGTAACTAGCGTTCTTTTAATCCAATCCAAATCGATGCTCATGATGTCAACCAGTCGATTGTCTGGTCCAGACCGCAGTCATGTAGCTAGAATATTGCTGAATGCGGCGTTGAACAACACACAAACACAACTTCGTCACCGGTTTTCTATATAACCAGTACCAATGTCATCCAGTGTTTAATGTCACCAGGCCGCTAAGTTACCAGTGTGCAGTGTCTGTGGTCCAAAATGTATGTGGTAATCGATAACACATTTGGATATTATGACACTGAACGTTCAACCCGCACGACCCTGTAGCAGTTAGGCAAACAACAGTGTAAGCCGTATTTGCGTTTCTAACAGGGAATGCAGTTTTACGTGGATACCCCGCTCAGACACAGCTATCCGAGCAGACCAGGCTTTTTTATTATGCCCCAAATGCCGAGCGCCAGGCTTGGTGGCAATAAGTACCACCTGTTAGCATATTTTAGTGTGACGCTGAAGGTTATCGAACAACTAAACTTTCTCTCGCCCAACGAATGAGTTCGCTGTTTGTCGTGTCCTTCTTGCCGTGATTCGCTGTTTGCGTTGTCCTTCTTGCTGTTTTGTCTAGCCGTGATTCGCTGTTTCGTCTTGTCCTTCTTACTGTGATTCGCTGTTTTGTCTTGTCCTTGTCGTGGTTCGCTCTTTGTCATGTTCTTCTTGCTGTGGTTCGCTGTTTTGTCTTGTCCTTCTCGCCAGAATTTGCTGTTTTGTCTTGTCCTTCTTGCCGTGCTTCGCTGTTTTGTCTTGTCCTTCTTGCCGTAGTTCACTGTTTTGTCTTGTCCTTCTCGCCAGAATTTGCTGTTTTGTCTTGTCCTTCTTGCCGTGGTTCACTGTTTTGTCTTGTCCTTCTTGCCGTAGTTCACTGTTTTGTCTTGTCCTTCTCGCCAGAATTTGCTGTTTTGTCTTGTCCTTCTTGTCGTGGTTCACTGTTTTGTCTTGTCCTTCTTGCCGTGGTTCACTGTTTTGTCTTGTCCTTCTTGCCGTGGTTCACTGTTTTGTCTTGTCCTTCTTGCCGTGGTTCACTGTTTTGTCTTGTCCTTCTTGCCGTGGTTCACTGTTTTGTCTTGTCCTTCTTGCCGTGGTTCACTGTTTTGTCTTGTCCTTCTCGCCAGAATTTGCTGTTTTGTCTTGTCCTTCTTGCCGTAGTTCACTGTTTTGTCTTGTCCTTCTTGCCGTGGTTCACTGTTTTGTCTTGTCCTTCTCGCCAGAATTTGCTGTTTTGTCTTGTCCTTCTTGCCGTAGTTCACTGTTTTGTCTTGTCCTTCTTGCCGTGGTTCACTGTTTTGTCTTGTCCTTCTTGCCGTAGTTCACTGTTTTGTCTTGTCCTTCTCGCCAGAATTTGCTGTTTTGTCTTGTCCTTCTTGCCGTGGTTCACTGTTTTGTCTTGTCCTTCTTGCCGTGGTTCACTGTTTTGTCTTGTCCTTCTTGCCGTGGTTCACTGTTTTGTCTTGTCCTTCTTGCCGTGGTTCACTGTTTTGTCTTGTCCTTCTTGCCGTGGTTCACTGTTTTGTCTTGTCCTTCTTGCCGTGGTTCACTGTTTTGTCTTGTCCTTCTTGCCGTGCTTCGCTGTTTTGTCTTGTCCTTCTTGCCGTGCTTCGCTGTTTTGTCTTGTCGGTTTTACCAGAGTTTCTGTTTTGTCTTCTTCTTCTAGCCGAAATTCGCCCTGATTCTTTTTCTAGGTTTATCCTCAGGATGTCCTTGTGTCTATCAACCAAAAGGGTAAACCTTTAACATATGAATCAGTTCAGGGTTGCTGTCCACGTCAAATTGACCTGCCGTCAATTGAAATACTGTTCAAAGCGACGTTACACGAACTCCACTCACTCGCTCTTCGATGCGACCTTGTGTACATTTCTGCTCTGCAATGATGTAGAAAAGACTTCTCTGACCAACAAAAACATCATGTGTATACACAACATACAGGAAGGTTGGGTATTCTTGTGGTTAAAACATTCGCTCGTCACGCCGAAGAATCAGGTTCGATTCCCCACATGGGTAGAATGTGTGAAGCCTATTTCTGGTGTCCCCCGCCGTGATATTGCTGGAATATTGCTAAAGGCGGCGTAAAAATATACTCACTCACACACACACTATACATGAGACAGAACATTTGAGGTTGTCGTCTCATCAATCGGGGATGATGCGGTGACAGTGGAACACAGAGGGTACGTCAACAGAGCGTACGTCAACAGAGCGTACGTCAAGCCGTTTCCCCCAGGAATAAATCAATGTCTCTCACCCGATGTCGCCACAATCCCAGGTGGGCTCCTGTCCTGGCAACACGCTAATCTAAAATCAATGTCGATATTAATTACGCAACACCGTTCGACGTAAGAGGTTTAGAATTGCACAGATTACAGAGATCGGGTAAAGATCTGTTACCATGACGGCGGGTACATTTGTCCAGCTGCACATCGCTGTCGCGTCACGGGAACAGGCAAATACATGTATCAAAACCCTTAACATATAAGTATTTTAACATGCAAGATATGATAACAAGGATCTGGGTTAACGATTATTATTATTATTATTATTATCATTATTATTATTATTGAGAACGACTTTATTATTTGTCAATGGAAAGAAGTAGCTCTGAAAACGTCGTCACAAATAAAACAGAAGCTGATATCCATGTGTAAATATTCCTTCAACTTCTAAGTGATTGAGTATAAAGTCGAGATATAGTGACAGAGGAAACAGCGAGAAGGGTTGAGCTTGGGGTCGGGTTCAAGAATATTTATGCTATTGCTTATACTGCACCGTGCATACAGAGAATGAATAAACACACATAGAGGACAGGCTGAGTCAATGAATAAACTTTTTTCATTGCCGCTTTCTACAGAGCGGTGGGGGGTGGGGGTGTAGGAGAGGAGATGAATGAATTCGGTTTAATGCATGTATCTGTATGTGTGACACATAAAACATTTCATTCATTCATGCAGTCAAATCAGTGCGGTACACCGCGACACCGTGGTAACACAGTGGTAACGCCCGTGACGGAGAGCTTCAAGTGGGGAGGTCAGTATCCCGTGGCGACACTGTGGGAATACAACAAAAGTTGGAATCCAATTTGCTGAAAGCACGTCTCCGTCAATAATTATCTTATCAATACAAACACAAAATCTTTATCAATACTCAAACTCACAACTTATTGCTGAGGCAGAAGGCGACTTCTTAAACACTTAACTAAAGTTTGATAACGGTTAAGATTCTATATCGAAACGTTGCTATATCCAATACCACCGTCATGCAGCTGGACTATTGCTGAGTGCGGCGATAAACAAAAAAAACCCAAACAACTTTGATTGTTTACAGGCCACTGTCAACATACAAAGACATACTTTATTTATGCAAATTGTGTGAGTGAAAGATGCAACCGGAAAAATCGAGACTGATTGTTCTCTGGTGTTGACATTAACCGAAGTGAGTGTAATATTTCGATATACACAGACTTTTACGTGTGTACACATATTTAGATTTGTACATGTTTAAAGTCTGTGCGTGTCGAAACATCACACTTACACCTCGCAAATAAACGTACCACACAACCAGGCCAGCAATATATGCCGTTATACTTCCCACACAATTTTCCATCCTTATGCATACTGTGACGTCAAGTGACAGATTTACACCGTGTCGAGTGTCCCAGCCGGTTCGCGCAGTACAGCCCATTCAAGAGTGTTATTTTCCTTGTTTCACGCAGGCCGCGCCACGATGTACAGACCATCTCGTAAACGCTGCTTGGTGATACTGCCAACTTTGGCTATCATCAACGGACTTCTGTGGTCATTCTATCAAGCAGGATACAGCCAGGGTGACCCTCTGAGTACCCACAAGCTTCAGACTCACAGGTAACTATAGATACTCCTTCTAACGATAGATATGTGCCTCTCCTCCTCTCTATGTACATGGTAGCGTTCGGTTGGAACTCGGCGAAATAGTGAAACAATGTAACCTGAAGTTACGCTAGTGTTTTGAAGCAATGTGGTACAACGCAGGGACTTAAGAGAAGGAATAGCATTGACTGAATGTAGACTTTATCATAGTTAAGGGACAAACTATGCCTTGTGTCAATACTTGTTGCATAAGATTAAGTGGGTCGAAGCTCAAGTAAGTTTGACTGAAATTCAACACTACTTTGTCTGTATACTGACTTATGTCTGTATCTATAATTGTGTGTGCGTGTCTCAGTGTGTGTGTGTGTGTGTGTGTGTGTGTGTGTGTGTGTGTGTGTGTGTGTGTGTGTGTGTGTGTGTGTGTGTGTGTGTGTGTGTGTGTGTGTGTGTGTGTGTGTGTGTGCGTGCGCGTGCGCGCGCGCGTGTGTGTATGTGTGTGTGTGCACTTAACACAGAACAAGCATAGTGTATGCAATTGATTCGGATAATGATCTGCGAATGATTTTTGTTCAACCCTGACACCAAAAGATTGTGTAATGTTTGTTTTATAAGTCAAAATGATTAAATGCTAAAGAAGAAGTTAGAAGTGTGTGTGTGTGTGTGTGTGTCTGCTTGTACTGGTCCGTACTGATGCCGATTGATGGTGTTACTGAGATACCATGCCACAGTTTAGCATGAAAACCCCAATGAGACACAGTGTACTGACTCCGACCTGGAGCCGACGTCGACCAGTCCTTGTTTCAGCCCCTTAATGTCAAACGCCAGACAGGGTAACAACAAGTACAATCTTTTGACGTCCTTTAGTATGGCGCGGCCGGGATTGAACCCGGGACCTTCCGCTCTCCGGGCGGACGCTCTACCACTAGGCCACGGAGGCGGTTCTATACGTCATCTGCGGAGATAAATACTACCTCAAGAAACCATCTGTAGAACAACAAATACTTCTTGATTCCAAAACCGCAACCTTCCTACACTCATCCCGTTTTATAGCTTTTAACTATTCCATCACGTTTCCAAGCAAATATAATACAGAACATATCCTAAATTGCTACCCCATCAACGCACATGTCAATAAAGTAAAATAACAGCAATATTTTGAGACCACCCCCAACTCGGATGTCATTTGCACCTGTGAAATGCACGGGACTGTTTGAGGTCATCACCTCATTCAACGATTTTATAGCGATATTGAAATATTTCTATTTCGCCCATGGGCGAGAAAAAGGTTTGGCCCATGGGCGAGAATATTTTCCTTTGCTCAGCAGTTTTAGTTTCGCAAATACATAAAGGTGTTATAAGCATGACACATGATTTTTACCTTAATTCAACTATTAAAATAGTTCGCCCAAGTTTTCGTCAGTCCCTTTAAATAATTAACTAATTGTGTACAAAGTATATTGTATCATGTGAAATATACTTTATATTATATCATTACATTTCTATTTAAAAAGGGCCTTTGGTTGGATGTTTCCTTTACAGAAGTTTTACAAATTTCACCTTTTTTACATATTGCAACGATCTTTAATGAACCCGGCGGCCCGTGAAGACCCGGGGTAGAATAGGTCTTCAGCAACCCATGCTTGTCGTAAAAGGCGACTAACGGGATCGGGTGGTCAGGCTCGCTGACTTGGTTGATGCATGTCATCGGTCCCAATTGCGTGGATCGATGCTCATGTTGTCAATCACTGGATTGTCTGGTCCAGACTCGAGTATTTACAGATCGCCGTCATATAGCTGGAATATTGCTGAGTGCAGCGTTAAACAACAAACCCAAAAGAGAGAGAGAGAGAATATTGTTTATTAAAGTGTCACATGTTATATACACTTCGTGATAGGATATATACAAAACAGTAAAATATAACATCCGGCCAAATATGGCCTACGAGACACTATAAAACGTATCAATCATAAAATATTCAGTTGAAACAGAATAAATAATGTAGCACACGGACACATACCTACGTGAAGCTACTTTTCACACTGAGGCGCGTACTCATACTTAACATACACCGCACATATACATACATACATACATAGACACATATACATAAATATATACCTCGTGATGAATGCGCGGAGCATGGCCCTGGGCGGCTTCAATGAGCAGCGCACCAGTATGCCAGAATACAGGGCAACTGACTTCCAAAGTCCTAAGTTAAAAAGTGCGCTCCCCCTTGACTCCCACCACCGCGTTGCGCCGCCCCCGCTCCTCGAGTGTACAATTACTCACCTTGCATGCGTATTTTAATGGAAAAAACTATTCGTCTTTTATTGCATAACGTTTGGCTGAATATCTCACATTCTAACGAAATCTCGAAATAATTATTTAATTACATGCGGTGTCGAACTGACCAGTGGGAATTATGTTTCAATGCGATTGAGGAAAACGTGAGTGAATATTGTGACCCTCAAGCAACTTTTAAAGGTATTGTCACTTTTGGTATGGAAATGGTAATAGATAAGAAAAACGCAACAGCCTTCTTATGATAATTCTCATATTCTCATTAGTACGTTGTATCTAATTACAGTGTCGGCCTTATTTACAGGTGATTCTACAATACCTGCTCTCGTTCAATTACAATCTGCCACACCACGCGTGAATAAACAGTTATGCAGGTGTTGCTGTGAGCAAATACCTAGCCTGTACATGTATATTTTTTGTGGATACATGTTTTACAAATTTGGATATATTAAGCACAAAGACAAAAAAAAGTTTATGAAAGATGAATTAGTGCCTTGATATATTCAACGAGATGTGTATAATCGTTTAATGGGGTATGTTTGGAGGAGATATCAAAGGAGCCGCCCAATATACACAGTGTCGTCCGGTGAACCACAAAAAATATACATGTACAGGCTAGGTATTTGCTCACAGCAACACCTGCATAACTGTTTATTCACGCGTGGTGTGGCATAATGAAAGAAGAATTGTCAGATTTATCACAAAATTAGACATTGTAGTACTTGTTAAGTATAATACACAGATATACTCCGCGCATATCTACTTATTCATCAAACCTTTCTTAGATACAGTTACTATTCCAAAACTTAGCAAAACATATGGATGCTAAGTTTCTTCCACAAAAGCTTAAAGATGACACACATTTATCGAGATTGCTATATTTTCCAGTTAGTTATGGCACCGGCTGGTCAATTATGATTTATAAATGTAAACGTAATAATCCGATATGTTTAACAGATATCGTGTTGTGTAACGCAAATATTTTGTTAAACTGTAGTTGTTTGTATAGAAACGGATTTCGATCAAATGATAACATCACCGTCATGGAATAACAATATGTTGTAATTATATTATCAATTTACCTTGTTACATTGGCCTTATCAAGAATTGAGTGTATTGACAAAGAGGGAGCAATTGTTTGGTTTATATTTCAAAGAAATTTTTGGATTATATGAAAATCTTAAACTGTAAGAATCCGCCATCTGAATTAGTTTCTATTACGAAACAAATTATATTTTGACTGTTACAACTATCGGATATCCTTTAATTACTGAAAAAAACTAATGCAATTTAATTAAGCCATTTGAGCAGATAAGAGAGGGAGAAACGTCCTGTAATCACACGTGTAGTGTGACACTTTCATGTACTTGGCCTATCTTTTGTTTCCCCAATGTAACAGGTGTTAAACCGCTAAGCTCATTGACAAAGACCGGACATTAATGAAGGGATTTGTGTTAGATAACATAAGCTCGGGTTGAGGAAATATTGAAAGTGTTTTTCGTAGCTGCATTGGAATTTAAGTCGGAGTTATTTAACTGGCCAAATTTCTACATATTGTTAACAGCACTTCCTATATTTGGAGGAGGCGGCGTCCTGTCTCTCATGTATAATACATAGAAAGACAGCGTGAATAGTAGGATTTGAGTTGATATTTATCCATATGTAAAGATCAAAAACTTTATACCTGCTTCATACCCCAAAATAATAGTTCAGCAAAATAAGTATCGTAAACTAAATACCTGAAATTTTTTTTTAGAAGTTTTATCCATTCACGTATTAAAATAATGGACACATTTTTCAATATCAATCTGTACTAAAAATAACATGTTTTCAGTTGACTAACATTTAAACAGAAAAAAGGGATGCTACATTCGCCGCATGACGTTAAGATTTAAATTTCAAGGCATGGTTTGTTGTACGTATTTGAGAGATTGCTGTCAAATATGACACTTCACCTCAGTGTGTCAAAGGTATGTATAAAAGCAAGAGCGATACATAAAAATCATGCATGTGCCTGTTGCGTACGCCATTTTGGTAATCGTCTTGTTATCTTAGCAATTACTGCGGCTACAATATATAAGTGAGAATGGATTTGAGAAGACTGGAAGAAACTACATGAAGGAGAACCACTGAGCTGCGACCGATTTTCCAGATTTACCAGCACTGTTGCCCTTCCAGGAGTGTTCTGTGTGGAGCGGCTGATACAAAGGAGGAAAACTCAAAAGGTATAAAGTGAATTTATGATTTTTACAATTTCAATGTCTACCGCTCTCAAGTTATTAGTAAGCAATCGGAATATTAAAATACCTCTTAAAAGGTACCATAATGTGTCAGGCTAGATACGTGAGAGCATTCACAGACTAACAGATAATATGTAATTAAGATGTTAACTATATAAAACAACAACAGCGTATGACATGAAATGAATAGGATATAGTGTAATTCCTAAAATACCACATTTAATAAAATAAACGTAAATGTAGGTGTTGATTAATTGTTCAGCACATTTTAAGCAGCGACATACGGACAGATTATAGATGAGGTTTTCAGACATAACGGTTATTTTATTAATTTCATAGAAATTGACGTCAAATAGTTTTATTATATCAAAGCATTCAAAAAAAGTTTGTGTTCATTGAATGGGAATTCAGTACTATAAGATGCTGATTGATCAATCTAATGTTATTTTATCGAAATAAATATGTCTATATAA